GTGTGTGTGTGTGTGTGTGTGTGTGTGTGTGTGTCTCCCTCTCTCTCTCGGTCCCTCCCAGAAAAATCATCTCAACAGTAGAGCACTTGTTGTACAATCGGAGGAAGAGTTTAGTTCCCAGCATATACACAACAAGCAAGGCATTCTGCGCACAGTCTCAGCTCCAACACAGAAGGATCACGGAGGCTTGCTGGCCGCCAGCCTAGCTGAAAAATTTGAGTCCCAGGTTGAGAGAGAGACTGCCTCAAGGAATCGGTAGATAATGATAGAGGAGGTCACTTGATTCCCATTTCTAGTCTCTCTCTCTCCTCTCTCTCTCTCTCACTCACACACACACACACACACACAACCACACACATATGCCTGAACACTCTCTCACACACATACAAAACTGAAAAAAATTCAGAATACCATGTATGTTAAGTAAACTTAAGTATGTGGAAAGGCCTATGACACCCATGATAATGAAGGAATAATGTATAATTTACCTATATTTCAACTCAAAGATTCTTCTGTGCAAAGTTATCTTAAGGGTTTGAAAGGATATAATGATAAGACTTTATTCCTAAGTGTAAGGAATCTATGTCTCTCTGTGTATCTAACTGTGTGTGTGTGTGTGTGTGTGTGTGTGTGTGTGTGTGTGTGTGTGTGTGACATAAGGTGACATATATACTTCAAATATTAGTTAAGAGCAAGAATTTTAATTCTTGACAAATTAGGAGGAACCCCAATCCTAACATTTGTGATCTGAAGGGCATTGACAACTTAGTCGCTTCAGCTGTAGAAGTTTCCTCCTTTACAAAGTACACAGCAAAACTTATCTCCTACGACCGGTTAGATGGGTTAAGTCTAGATGGGTTAAGTCAAAACAAGCAAAACACACCTGCTACAGTGGCCAAAGAAAAGAGACCTTTAAAAACAAAACTGTTATGTGTATGAATGTACTGCCTGAACAGATATATGTTCACCACCTGTGTCTGGTGCCTGTAGAGGCCAGAAGAGGGCATGAGAGCCCTTAGAACTGGAGTTAGGGATGGCTGTGAACTACCATATAGGTCCTGTATTCTCTATGAGAGCAACAAGCGCTCTTAACTGTTGAGCCATCAAGCTACCTAAAAGTAAACTCCTACTTTTTTAAAGGTAGGAAGGTGTCATAAAATGTCAGACCAAGGAGGGAGGATGAGACGATTCTTTCAGGATATTTATTTTTGAAAGATACTACTAGCTGGGCAGAGTGGCATGCGCCTTTAATCCCAGCATTTGGGAGGCAGAGGCAGGTGGACCTCTGTGAGTTGGAGGTCTACAGAGTTTGAGCAGAACATTGAGAGCTACTTAGTGAGACTTTTGTCTACAAGCAAACAAACAAAACCAATAAATAAATAAAATTACTAAAACATCAATAATATTAAACAAAATTTAAACAATATATCAATATGCTTAAAGCCCTACCAAAAACTTTCTTACTTTTATTACCTACCAATAAGTACCCATATGTTTATCCATTTTACTACTACTAAAGTTTTGTATTGATTACTTTCAAGTAACAGCATTTTTTCTCCACATAGATACTAGGTCTTCCTACTTTTTGTTTTAATAGCCTCATAGCAATTTATTCAGTTGATGTAGCACAATTTCTTAGTGTAATAAAAATTGTTTATTATGCTTTTTAAGGATATTATACTGCAATGAAAATCTTAGTAACAAACTTATTTTCCCGAAGATTCATTTTTAATTAGTGTTTCTGTGTGTATCTGTGCAAATGAGTATGGGTGCCCTCAAGAGACTAGAGGAATCAGAGAGATTCCTGAGAAACTCAGTTACAGGTGGTTGTGAACCACCAACATTGGCATTGGGTATTAATTTGGGTCTTGTGTAATAGCAGTAAGTGCTCTTCTTAACTGCAGAGCTATCTCTCCACACTTCTTGTATTGTCTGGGTTTTTTGTTTTTGTTTTTGTTTTGTTTTTTTGTTTTGTTTTGTTTTTTTGAGATAGGGTTTCTCTGTGAAGCCCTGGCTGGCCTGTACCTCCCAAGTGCTGGGATTAAAGGCATGTGCCACCACTGCCTGGCAGTAACTTTAAGGTTAGCCAGGAAGAATACATTTAGCTGTAACAAAAATTATCAGAATTTCTATAGTCTGACATATTATCTAATTAGTTTGCAATCAGGAGGTAAAA